AATTTAAGAATTGAAAATAAATATATAATTTAGAAATTAAAAATGTGTATATACAAATAAATTTAACAAATTAATTAATAAAAAAATTACAAAAATGAACTTTTCAAAATACAATGAGAAAAAAAAAATTAAAAATTTTTAATATATAAAACTAAAAATTTAGAATTTAAAAAGGGACATAATCTATTTCCAATAACCGTCCCAATTTTTTTTTTTGGTTCACCGTTGACAAAACAACAAATTATTTTTCTTTAAAAGATACAAAGTTTCATGCAATGTTACCTCAAAGGCTCAAACCATAATTAATTAGAAAAATGATAAAAAGTGAAAACTCGAGCCTATAAATCGAGATGATACAGTTGCGAGAGGAGTAACAAGGATCAAGCTTTGTTACGTTGGAGTTTGTGATTGTTGATATATTGCTAGACCCCCAATAGTGACAAATCCTTGTCGGTCATAAAAGGACGGTGGCATTCTTTCCAAGAATTTTCAGTTAAGAGATTCGGGGACAATTTTCCTTCTTCCTCAAATTCTCCATTTATAGTCAGACTATCTCCAAAGGCTGCTGAATCCATTTCTCCCACAATTCCCCACCTCAATTTCTTCACTTCCAAAGCTTGCAATCCCCTGAATTTTCCTTTTCCTTTTATCTCTTATTGTCTGCTTGGTAGGATGGAAAAAGGTGAAGCTGACATGTTGTTATCCTCTTTGATCCCCGAGAACCCAACATGTGTGAAAATTCCAGGGAAGACCCAACTGTGTCTGGCAATCGAGGAGGCAAAATGTCTGGTTATTATAGTTGTTCCCATGGTACTGACCGGTCTTCTGCTCTACTCTCGTTCTATGGTCTCCATGCTCTTCCTAGGACGTCTGGGTGAACTGGCTCTAGCCGGCGGCTCGCTTGCTATCGGGTTTGCAAACATTACAGGATACTCTGTTCTCTGCGGTCTGGCCATGGGAATGGAACCCATCTGCGGCCAAGCTTTTGGGTCCAAAAGCTACAAGCTTCTCGGACTGACCCTGCAAAGAACAACGATTTTGCTTCTCTTGACATCCATCTTCATTGCTTCTCTGTGGATTAATATGAAGAAAATCCTCCTGTTTTGCGGCCAGGAAGAAGACATCGCCGAGGAAGCTCAATCCTACATTCTTTATTCTTTACCGGACCTTATCGCACAATCAGTTCTTCACCCTCTTCGCATTTATCTCAGAAGTCAATCCGTTACTCTGCCTCTGACCCTCTGTGCAATTGTATCCATGATTTTCCACATTCCCATTAATTATTATTTTGTTTATGTTCTCAATTTGGGAAGCAAAGGTGTCGCTTTGAGCTCTGTTTGGACTAACTTCAACCTTGTCGGATTATTGATCATTTATGTTAAATTGTCCGGTGTCTACAAGAAAACATGGGATGGAATTTCATGGGATTGCTTAAAAGGCTGGAAATCACTGCTCAATTTATCAATTCCGAGCTGCATTTCCGTTTGCCTGGAATGGTGGTGGTATGAAATCATGATCCTGCTTTGCGGATTACTCCTGAATCCAAAAGCAACGGTTGCTTCCATGGGAGTTTTGATTCAAACAACTGCTCTGATATACATCTTTCCCTCTTCATTAAGCTTTGGTGTGTCAACCAGGGTTGGGAATGAATTGGGCGCCAACAATCCCCAGAAGGCAAAAAGAGCTGCCATCGTTGGACTCTTTTCAAGCGTCTTCTTAGGACTCTCAGCATTGTTTTTTGCCGTGATGGTGAGGAACATTTGGGCTACTCTGTTCACTACAGATGCAATCATCATTAAATTAACCTCCATGGTCTTGCCGATCATTGGACTCTGCGAGCTAGGAAACTGTCCCCAAACAACAGGCTGCGGTGTTTTAAGAGGGACTGCAAGACCTAAACTGGGAGCAAACATCAATTTAGGATGCTTTTACCTGGTGGGTATGCCGATTGCTGTGGGTTTGGCTTTCTTCTCCAGGTATGACTTCAGGGGACTCTGGCTCGGTCTTCTAGCCGCCCAAGCTTCCTGTGCTGTGAGCATGCTGTTCACTTTGCTCCACACCGATTGGGAATATCAAGCTCAAAGGGCTCAGGAACTTACTCGATCCGTTCCCAATGATGATAATGTCAATCAGGACAAGAAAGTTAACACCACGGGTTTTTCGAGCTCAACTGATGATGAAATGAAAGAAAACCAATCCCCTGTTTGATGCTTTTAACAGAAACCTTGTTGCCTTGATTTTTTTTTTTTTTATGTTCCCCTTTAACTAAATGTACCCCCTCTTTGTCTATTTATTTTCATTTATACTTGGTAGAGTATACTACTAAACTTGTATCTTGGTAGAGTATACTACTAAACTTGTATCTTTATATATATATAGAGAGAGTAAAATATTATAGGACCATTATCTTTATAGGAGAAATTCGTTCTGTATTTTTATTCTTATGGTCTAAAAAGGGTAAGTGCAAAGAACATAGAATTCGTTAGGTGGGCTCCGTACCACATTACTAATAATGTTGTGGATTTGCCACTTCTGTTTGGATATACATAATGGTGTTTTCATTTTAACAGTTAGCCGGCGCTCCTCCTAAAAAGTGAAAAAAAAAAAAACACCAAACGAACACAATTAGGCAGGCAGCGTGTTTCATTCAATTTATGCGCAACTTGGTAATAATTCATTTTTGGTATTGATAAATTAGTGTTGGACACTATAATGTAGC